GTCTGAATTGATCCAGGTTAATCAGATTAGATTGGAGATAATCTTCTATCCCTAAGCAATTGGCTCAGCCTGAAATTTCAATTAAGATTTATTTATTTCTTGGTGGTCTGAATGTCTTTTTGGTCTTTTAGACTCTCATTTAAAAGAAATTCTGCTATTCCTTTGTATATTTTTGTATCATTTTTCTTGCTGCCAAGACAATGTATTCCTTCCAGAGTACGAAAAAAATATATGAAATGTTCCTACATAGGCTAATTCTTTAAGCTGCTATCAACTAATGCCTTGGAGATGAACTGACAGCTGGTTAAGAAATTCATAGGTACCTTTCAAGGCACAAGTGAGACGGAAATAAAGGAGAGCGATTGCAGAGAAAGAGACAAAGAGCAAAGACTTATTTTCCTCTCGTTCAAAATACTGTCTCAGAGACATCTGTCTAAGAGTGGGGGCTTGCACAGATGCATTCTCTCATGCTGCCTTCAGGAATCTAACCAAAATGACAGTAAAGAGATAAAAAAGGGTAGAAGTCATAATCCTACAAGTATAAAGAGGGTAGTAGAAGAGACAAGAGCAGAGAGGTCAACAAACTTTTGAAATTGGGAAACAGACAAATGAGTGATAAAAGATTTAGCTGGCTGGATAAAGCCAAGAGCTACCCACTTTCCCAAAAAAGCAAATCTGCTAGGCCTACAGAACTACAAAAAGGCTGATGAACTGAATGTGGTAGGCAGATGGGTCTCAAAACACGAATAATGTGGGGCCAGCCCAGTGGCATAGTAGGTTCATGCGCTACGCTTTGGTGGCCCCGGGGTTCACGGGTTCAGATCCTGGGCACAGACCTACACACTGCTCATCAAGCCATGCCGTGGCAGTGTCCTACATACAAAATAGAGGAAGATTGGCACCGATGTTAGCTCAGTGCATATCTTCCTCAAGCGAAAAGAAGAAGATTGGCAACAGATGTTAGCTCAGGGCCAATTGTCTTCATCAGGAAAAGACAAAAAAATAAAAACAAAAAAACAGGAGCAATGTTTGAGATTCCCTATAAGAATAGGGAGTTCAGTTCAATAATAGATCCTTCCCCCACCAATGCCCCAGAATTGAGCACACTCTTGAGAAGAGGAATGTACGTTGGATTGAGAATAGTGGGGGCCATGTTCTTACCATACTCTATCCTCAGGCCTGGGCAAGTATAAAGGGGGGAGAGGAAGGAGAAGGGTAATCCTACTTTCTTTTACCCTACCCCTGGTGTCATAGTGAAGTGCTGAGGTCAGTCCTTGGATTTAAACAGACATCTCTCTTGGGAAGCTGTGGCACATAATTCAAATGAGCATATAATTAAAAAATCATTTCTATTTAGCTTTGAACTGTATTATGAGGATTGCAGCTTTTTAATTTTTTACACATTTTCTTAATTATGTTTTGCTTTGTATAATATTAAAGTGAGTTTTAATTCCCTATTCACTTGCTGACAGAGAGTGGAGAGATATAGTCTGAAAGTGGAGTGGGTGCTTAAAAATGTAGTAACCACAGGATGGATACGTGGTAAACACATTCCTGGATAAAATGTCAATGAAGTTGAATTTATACTGGATCTCTAAGACTAGCTAATAAAATTCCACGCATCTTAAGAATCAATAAAAATCACTAACGATTCTAGGAATCAAGATGATCCTTCAGTGTATATTTATTCCAAGTGAATAAAAGGCATATGACTTGGATTCACAGCAAAATAGTCACAGAGAAACTTAACTACAAGGAATGATATCATCCAAATCAGCTTCGTCTCCCAAAATAGTGGCAAAGCTCCAGAGTGTAGTCAGTAATGCATGTGAAATGCTTTATCTCTAGTTTTATTACTTGACAGATTAAAGATGCTCATTCCCACACATTAATATTGCACCATAGGTTTGATGTCAGCCTTCTTTATTAAAAAACAAAACAAAACAAAAAAGCAGGCCACAAAATTTTACCGAATTAGCAGTAATGGTTATTTGTCCCAAGTGGATTTTCATCAGTTCTTGTGGACTACTGTCTATGGCTGGCCATCTGCATGTTTCCATGAGCTATATATATCCCCACAAAGATTTCTAAAATATATGATATTACGAAATATTTTTTATCCCAAAAGAGCTTATGTCCAAAGAGACATTTTTATTTTGGTCAGAAGATGTTGATATTATGATGGAAATAGTTATAACTACCATGGAAATAGATGAACTTTCTATAACGCAGGGTTCCATTCTTTTATCTTTCTCTTGTATATCCTCCTTTCAACTTAATTCTTTAAGTTATAGGTAATTAAAAGAGGAATTAAGTATTTTATGCAGAAAGATATTATGAAATTTTTCAAATAAAATAAAGTTAATATGCTTTTCTTGACATCATTTTAATGTTCAACATGTCAATGATTTAGAGTACGATCATTATTTTTTCATTGCATATTTTCAGGGTTAGAGGAGAGAGATATTTTTTCTTGTGAAACAGGAGGGGAAATGAAGCAGTATTGAAGATAGTGCTGTATTGAGCAGGCTTAAAGGACACATGTCTATGTATGCCCCAAAGTGCCATGACTCTGAGCTCATATCTACCCTCCTAGAGACTTAATAACATTATATCTATGTTTCCTATGGTCCTTTCTAAATATACTGGCCTTCTCATGGAGCTGGCCACTGCTGCTTCAGCATAAGGTTGCCACTCTGCCAGGTTCAGCCATCCTGGCCTGGTGCCCACCACTGCTATCACCATGCTAAGTCTGTCTGACCACATCCTAAACCATACAGCCAAGACAAGGCTGGATCTTTTAACGCCTTACTAAAGATTCAGTGATAATGGGGAAATTACAACACAGAGAGTAACTATCAACCTCTGCTGTATATACATGGTCTCAGAGCCTCCAGATTCATGCCCATTCTCAGAGTCATGCAGTATTCCCAGCTGCTGACCACACTCAAAGTGCCAACTCACACCTCTACATGTGTCCTGACTACTGTCACATCGCTGAATATAGTTTCTCTTGCCCTAAGACCCTGAAAGAAAATCCTCCCTTTCTCCCTATCATGAACTGTGCTTTCTTGTCACAAGATCTCCATTTTTCCTAGTTGATTAACTGAGGGATTATCTTCTCCCATAAGGAGAGACTTCTACTCTGGCAGAGATGTAGTCTTTTCCTCTGGCCCCAACAGGACAATCGTATCTGAATTTCTAGCCCTTCATGTAGTCATTTCTCAGCATCCAAGTCATTCACTCTTAGACAACACCATTGCTAAGAAATCAAAGTTCCACACAAATGTTCAGACACAAAAACAAATGGCCTTCCTTTTCTGGTTTCTTTCCATTGTAAGTTTAAAATTATGTCTCTGTCTCTTTCCCGAAGTCCTCTTCATCTGAGATCCTCATTCCAAAAAACAGCTGCTCAAGCAAGAATACATGCAATCTAAATTACAGTATACAAGCAGGCTACATTATAAATATATTCATAAAGCCGAAACACATCTCTCAAAGAAGCAACAAAATCTGTAGAGACATAGCTTTGCCAAAAACTTATGCACAACAGTGAAAATTACCAAAGAGACTACATAGTTTCTCAGTTTATAACATCTGCAGTCATGTTTACAAACTGAGGAAAAGAGCCAGAGAAAAAAGAAAGAGATGCTAAAATGCAGAATAAGAGATACAGACAGAAAAAAAATTCTCTCAGGAGGACTATAATTAGGAGATAGGAGACAGAAGTCAGAACATAAGCAGGAGGAATAACCTTGGATAGAAGGAAAAGCTGGTTGAAGCTTGGGAGTAGAGGTCTGAGAAAAGATTCTAAACTAAAACTGAACGCTCTAAAATGATCTGGAGAATAGGTAGGATAAAACAGTAGATTTATGTCAGTTCCACAATTAACTCCTCTTCACCTTCCTAAGGTTGAATTAACTTTATAAAAGAGAAGCATTACTGCATTCCTGCTTACTTTTCACATTAGAAATAGACATAGAAAATGTGTGGTCATGGAGAAATGGGAGATGGCAAACCTGCAGTAAAGTATATAATATTTTGTTCATAATCAAAGGGAATATCTAAGCGAGGCCTTGTATACTTGCTGGATAACTGCAGAGCAGAGGCATTAATTCCAGGAGACAGAAGGTGAGACTTCCTCCTTGTCAGCTTAACTGTTCCATATTGAAGGTAGATAATCATTAGGTCTATGATATGGAGCATGGATTGCATCAGATGTTGTGAAGGAGGGTCCATGAGTGCACTAAAGCAGAAAGAATATCACCGTATTCATAACGTTGCAAAAGCTTCCTCTCTCAGAATTGTCATAATAGGTTCTAGTAGAAAGAGAATGAGTTTTGAAATCCTCTGATCTTAATATTCTAGCTCCCATTGCTTGTTAGCTGTGAATTAGACACATCTTTAACAGATGGTAATAAAAGCGGTACCTCACAGGGTTGCCAACCTTTCTCTCTTGTCTTGGTAAGGCAGCACTGGGATGAGTCGCTGTAAAAGACAGAAGCGTGAGGACAACACCAGAGGAAACCACGGTCAAGATATCTGGAGGGTCTAGGTCAGGTATCATAAGCTCGTCTATGTGGGAGGAAGCACTGAGTTATCACTGGGGTCAGAAACCAGTCAGAAATTTGAGCAACCAACATTGCTTATTTCTTGGCCCTCTTCTCTGTATATATTCTCTCCTTGAATGCTTTCACCCAGGTTCTTGCCCCTAAATAGCATCTTATAATTTCCTGGGGCTGCCATAGCCTAGTACCACAAACTAGGTGGCTTAACACAACAAAAATTTACTGTCTTACAGTTCTGGAGACTAGAAGTCCAAAATCAAGGCATTAGCAGGGCCGTGTTCCCTCTGGAACCTGGAGGGGAGAATCCTTTCTTACTTCTTCCTAGCTTCTGGTGGTTTGCTGGCAATCCTTGGCTTTCCTTGGTTTGCAGCTTCATCACTCCAGTTTCTTCCTCTGTCATCATATGGTGTTCTCTCTTCTGTGTCTGTATCTCTGTCTCTTTTCTTCTTATAAGGACATCAGTCGTATTAGATTTAGGGCTCACCACACTCCAGTATGACCTCATCTTAACTTGACTAATTGCAACTGCAATGACCATATTTCCAAAAAAGTTTACATTCTAAGGTATGAAGGTGGTTAGGACTTCAACATATCTTTGGGTGTGAGGTGGGGGGAGAACAATTTAACCCCTAACACCATCGATATACTGATGATTCCCAAATTTATATCTTTAGTCTTGATCCTGAGTGATATCCCAATTGCTTACCTGGCATCTCCCCTTGGATACATGAATAAGCATCTCAACATGTGCAAAATTTGTCAACTGTTCCAATCCCCCACCTCCAAACCTTTCCTTCCTCAGCCTTCTTCATCTCAGTGAATGAGGCTAACATCTACCTCATTATTCAACTTAAAAATCTAAAAGTCATCTATTGTTTCTCCCTGTGAGATAATAGAAAATTTACATTGGTCTCTACCCCTGTTTTGGCATAGAGTTTCTAAAACCCTTGAAATTTCCTAAGTGATGAGAGCAGCAAAGGTGTCTTTTATTATGTTAATGAGGTGACTTTGGGACCACACCTAAGGATGGAGGCTGGTTGCCAGGGAAACCAACCTTGTGATTAGAGGGTTGGAACTTCCAGTCTCACCCCCCAGACCTCTGGGGTGGAGAGAGGGGCTGAAGGTTGAATCGATCGCCAACGGCCAATGAATTAATCAATCATACCTATATAATGAAGCCCTCATAAAAATTCAAAAGGGCAGGGTTCAGAGAGCTTCCAGGTTGGTGAACATGTGGAGGTGCTGGGAGAGTGGCATCCTTGGACAGGACATGGAAACTTCACGCCCTTTCCACGTACCTTGCCCTCTGCATCTCTTCCATCTGGCTGTTCCTGAGTTATAGCCTTTTACAATAAACTGGTGATCTAGTGAGTAGCATATTTCTCTGAGTTCCATGAGTCACTCTAGCATATTAATCAAACCCAAGGAGGGGGTCGTAGGAACTTCTAATTTATAGCCAGTTGGTTAGAAGTACAGGTAACAACCTGGATTTGCAACTGGCTTCTGAAGTTCAAGGGGGAGGTCTTGGGAACCCCCAATCTACAGCCAGTTGGTCAGAAGCACAGGTGATAATCTGGGCTTGACACTAGCATCTGAAGTGGGAGGTGGAGGGGGGCAGTCTCATAGGACTGAGCCCTTAACCTGTGGGATTTGACGATATCTCCAGGTAGATAGTGTCAGAATTGAATTGAATTTTAGGACACCTTGCTGCTGTCCAGAGAATTGCTTGTTGATGTGGGGGCAACCTCCCTCCCACATTGAAAATTGAGTCTCAGAATACCAAAACACTCCTTTACCCTCATCTCCCATATATATTCCATCAACACCTTTTTCTTGTTCTTTGACCTCCATCACGGGAGCTGAATCTTCTGTTCTCTCATCTGTTCTGCCGCCACACAGTTCCAAATCACCATGAAATACAAAAAAGAGCCTCAAAAATTATCTCATTGCTCATATCATTGTTTCCTTTTAATCCATTTTCTGTATAGTAATCAGAGTAATTTTTAAAAATATAAATCAAATCATGGCTTTTCTCTTCTTGAAACTCTCAAAGTCTTCCTGCTATATTTATAATGAATTTTGAACTTCTCACCATGGTCTACAAGGACTAACAGGCTGAGTCCAACACCACCATCTCATACCACTACCCCCTCACTTATATGTGCCCAGTCATGCTTGGGGTCACTGAATCCAGAAACTTGTTCACATTTTCCAGAGTCGAAATATGAGGTGCTCATGAGAGTTGGGGAAGAAGGAGTGGAGGAGGATGGAAAGGAGAAGGGAGCGTAGCAACTGGGATTTCATGGTTGCTGAGGAGACCCAGAGTCCACCCACTCCTATATACCCACTTTAAATCAATCCTTCTCATTTCACTCCTGCTTCCCACCTCTGCCTCCCATTTTGCCTGATACCTCCAAGTCCTGAGCATTGCAATTGGATTACCTTTTGCAGATTCTTAAGTTGAAGCGTCTCTTCCCTCTGCTACGACAGGTACTTGTTCTTAACTGACTTTCTTTTTTTTTTTTTTTTTTTTTCCTTCTTTTTTCCCCCCAAAGCCCCAGTGGATAGTTGTATGTCATAGCTGCACATCCTTCTAGTTGCTGTATGCGGGACTCGGCCTCAGGATGAACGGAGAAGTGGTGCCTCGATGCGCACCCGGGATCCGAACCCGGGCCACCAGCATCGCAGCGCGCGCACTTAACCACCAAGCCACAGGGCCGGCCCATTAACTGACTTTCTAACTTCCAAAATTCATGGCAATTTCTTGTCCACAGATATCTTCTCTCCTATTCTCTTTGACTTTATGAATTGATACACTTCTAATCTTAATTCTTCTTTAGTGAAGTTTGAGAGGGAGATTAGATACATGCATGTAATCAATCTGTCTGGTTAATGGGAAGCACCCCTAGCATTAACTTGATTTCTCTAAGTGGCAGAAAACCCTTGGATTTGAGGCAAACACTGTACCATCTGTATAAGAACAATGAATGGGGTGATAGGTTAGAGCAGCATCTCTGAACCTTGACACTATTGACATTTGGGACTGGATAACTCTTTGTTGTGGAGAGCTGTCCTGTGCATTGTAGGATGTTTAGCAGCATCGCTGGTCACTACCCATCCTCCCAGTTATGACAAACAAAATGTCTCCAGGTATTATCAGATGTCTCCTGGGAGAGAAATTTCCCCTAGTTGAGAACCACTGATATAGAGAGAAATTGCAATACTGTTACCAGAGTAAAAAAGAGAGAGTGACAAACACAAGAAAATTCCCCTACTCCTTAATTTAGTCAACAAAAACATGACTTGAAAAACCTTGCAGCGAGATATCCTAATACTTGTTCCTCTGAATTACTGTACGATCTCAAGAAAAAGAAATCAGACCCCAGGACAAGTGACAAATGGAAGGAGCCAAGGTGGTTCTGAACTCAGCAGTAGGATCCTTTGATCTTCACTCAGGTATTTCACTATTTACAGTGTTCAGTGTCTCTGCAGTTCTCAGTATTTCTTTTCTGTGTACCAATCTTCCATTATATGTGTCATATATAAATATATACCTATCATATAGTCTTTTAACAAGCATTTGTTTCCCACCCACAGTATGTCAGGGACCATTGGGGGCACTGCACATACAGCAGTGTATGTGATATTTAGGGCCCCTATTTTGGTGGTGTTTATATTCATGTGGGGCAATTGACAGTAAGTAGCAAACTGATCAATAAATAAGTTAGTTCAGGTGGTGATAAGTGCTATGTAGAAAAGAAAAGAGTGCAATGTGTTAGAAATGAATGGTGGTGAGGGAAGAAGCAGAGAAGGCAAGATTAAACTGGGAAGTCAGAGAAGACCCACTAAAGAGATGACATCTGACTCAAAACCCAAAAGACAATTGGAGGAGATAATTAAAGGTTTCCCATACAGAGACCTAGAAAGAGGACTCCAGGAGGAGGAATGAGCTAAAGCCTTATATATATGTGGGTGTGTGTATGTGTGTGTGTGTGTATGTGGTATGGTCTGAATGTTTGTGTCCCCCCAGTATTCATATGTTGAAATCTTAACTCCCAAAGTTGATGGTATTAGGAGGTGGGTCCTTTGGGGGGTGATTTGGTCATGAGGATGGAAGCTTCATGAATGGGATCAGTGCCCTTATAAAAGGGACACCACAGAGCTCCCTAGGCCCTTCCGCCATGTGAGTACACAGTGAAAAGACAGCCGACTAAGCAGCAGGTGCTCACCAGGTACGGAATCTGCCAGCACCTTGATCTTGGATTTCCCAGCCTCTTGAACTGTGAGAAATAAATTTCTGTTGTTTATAAGCCACCCAGTCTATGGTATTTTTATTATAGCAGCATGAACAAACTGAGATAGTATGTTTACATATATACGTTTAAATTGTTTTTCTCTACTTCCTTGCTTCTGTTTATTCAGAGTTGCTCCCCCCTCATTAACCTAGGCCAGCAAATGATCCAGAAGAGTTGCCTGCTCTTTCCTAATATCACCCTTCTCCATTTTCAGCTCCCACCCTTACCTTTCTTCTTATTTTGGTATTTCCTAATGTGAATCCATCCGATGGGCCGAACTCATCTTTTTGTTCTAGGTAATGGCAGAAACTGCTTGCCAGTCTAAGGATTGACTACTCTTGGATCAGATGCCCTTTCCTAACCTAATCAACAAGTCTATGATGGGAAAGCATCAGTGAACGCCAAAATACCTGCCTGCAGTTTCCCTTGAGTGGGAGCACAGTCAAGTCAGTGTATCTTTAAAGAGTCTGTGGGTAAGCAAGCTTCCTGACTGACAGATCTCCTGAAATCTCCCTTTGCTGTGTACTCAAGGTCATTCTACCCTTCAGCTCTGCTGTCATTCATGCTCCATTTTTAATTTATCACCCAGAGCAACCCCTGGAAGATATCACAAAAATCATCCCAGCAGCAGCAGAGGTTAGAAGCAAATAGATAAGTAGATGTCTTCCTCACAACAGTGTAAGACTGAGAGTGATTTTCCCCAGAGACTGAAACGAACATATGTTTTATATTTCTTAGTTCACATTCTCTGGTGTGAATCATAAAATCATTTATTAGACCAAAAATTATTGCACAGCCCTTTGAGCGAAGCCATGTTGAAAGCTCTGGATAAAATACCCATGACAGAATAGATGCAATCCCTGCCTTTGGGAGCTCACATTGTAGTGGGGACATGCAGTGGCTATTTACCATAACTCTCTGACTGCCCAGCACTCTTGGAGTGCAAATTTTCCACCTCAGGAGGCCTGCTTCACCAAGGAAGATTCCAGAAACTCAATATTCCGGCCTGTCTGGCAACTAGAGTACAGGCATACGTCTATGGCCCTTTTAATCACATGCACTGTTAAGAGATTAAATACAGAAGAAAGTACCATGAAGAGGAAGGCACACACAGAATCCACTTTTTGTAAGGGTGGCGTGGTGTTGCAAAGTCACCCAGGCCAGAGAGGGACCAGTAACAGGGGTTCTTGTAATAGGGTTTGGTGCCCAAGATGTGGAGT